CTGGAATCCCTGCTCCCCTTCAGACCACAGCAGCCAGAAAGAGTCTACAAAAACATAAATCAGATCCTGTAATTCCCCTCCCAAACTTCTCCAAGGACTTCCCAAACCACATGTGCAAAAGTCAAAATCCTTGAAAACAGCCAAACAAGGGCACACCCTCCTCCAGCCATTCTCTGCCCATGGCCCATTTACCTCCTCCCACAACCCTCCTTTTGCTCTCTCTGCTCTGACTGCACTGGCCTCTGGGCTGCTCCTTGCACACGCTAAGCAAGCTCTCTGCCTGAGGCCTCTGCACCCAATTCCCTTGGCCTGAAATGCTTTTACCACATATTCCCAAGCACATGTTCCTCACCTCCCTCATTCAAACCAACCTAACTAAAATCACATCACCTCCCCCAACTCTTCTCCATGTGCCTCCTCGGCACTTACTGTCATCTAAAACACCTTATATGCCTTATGTATGATCTGTCTCCTCCCAGTGGAATGTAAGTTCTGGGAGGGCAGGGACACGTTTGTTCACCAATGTATCACAGTGCCTAAAATGCTACCTGTAGCACACAGTGTGTGCTCAATAAATATTTGTTTAGAAAGAAGGAAACTCTCTGGAAAAAGTTTACTAGTGAATGTTCTCAGTTGTTCTACTTACTCTCCTACAAGTGAATTTTCTTTGTCAAACCTCTGAAATTTAAAAGAAACATATGGTGCATGAATAACTACATGGATTGCTTTTTTTCTCCTATATATATATGACTAGCCCTTTGACCCTGAATGATGCTGGCAAAAAGATGGCACCTGCACACTCCTTTCAGATTCGCCACCCCCATCAACAACCACACCAATATTATTTTTGGCTTCCAACACCAAGAATAATGGTATTTTTGACTTCAACTTTTTCTTCTAACCTAAGTGGATACTAACCTCCAGAAAAGATCAGTCTATGAAAGATCAGGAACAATCTCCAACACAAAAGAACACTGCATTCCCCTAAAACAGTGGTTCTCAACCTTCCTAATGCCCTGACCCTTTAATACAGTTCCTGTAGGTCGCGACCCACAAGTTGAGAACTGCTGCCCTAAAAGATGAATACCCAAGGTTCAAGAAAACTGACTTGTCTTCAAACACAGCTTAGGCACATTCTTTCAAAAATACATACCACAAAGAAGTGATTATTTGGCTGGACTGTCATCAATTTATAAAGCTTAAATC